GAGGACACTAGTACAAGAGCTTGGGGCCTGAGGTTCACCTCAGTAGTAGAGTGGTTCCTTAGCCTGACCACAGCATGGGGTACTGCCTTCCAGCACTGAGACAGACAATAAAAACAGTAAACCACAGACTAAACAGTTTGTTTATTCATTCACCTATTTGTCTGTCTGTCTATCTATCTATCTATCTATCTATCTATCTATCTATCTATCTATCTATCCATCTATCTATCTTTTTATTTTTGTAGTGTTACTAGGGATTGAACCCAGGGCCTTATACAGGCTAGGCAAGTGCTCTACCACTGAGCCACATCCTAGTTAGTTTTTATTTTGAGCTTCTGTCTAAGTTTCCCATGCTTGCCTTGAAGTCATTCTGTAGCCTAGTCGGGTCTTGAACGTATGTTCCTCCTAGCTCAACTTCCCAAGTAGCTGTGATTATAGGCCTGTGTCACGAGGTCCAGTTGGTTACAATTATAATTTAATTTAATTACAAAAAAAGGTGATTTATTGATATCGTAGATTCATGAAAATTACCCTCAACTCCTTCCTTGAAGCAGTTGTGTAGACAGTGATTTCGAACTGTGGCTTTGTAATATTCTGCCTGCCATTTTTGTTCCGTGTTGACCGGGATCCATTGCACCTGTCTGTAACCAAGAGACAGACCTTCATGCTGCTGTGGTCACCTGGACAGACACCAGAGTTTCTGATGTATAAAAGGACACAAAACCTCAGAGTCCTCACTTCCTGTTTTCCTGGGAGAATTTTTCTTTGGTGGGCCTCATTGGTAACCCCTGGGGATTTAAAGAGTTCCTCAAACCATCCTCTGGGAGGAACGACAGTGGCTGGGTGATGTTTTCTATTGGGCCCCCAAGTTGGCTGAAGAAGTTTCAGTTTATTTTGCTCCTAAGTCCATATGTATGTGGGTGTCTCTTGAGGGTGGGGAGTCAAATATTAGGGAGTATTAAGTAGTAGGTCAAATCAAACATCTTGTTCTTATTTTTTTTAAGATTGTTTTTATTTTTTAATTATGTTTGTGTGCGTGCGTGAGTGCACCAGATGCTCTTGGAGGCTGGAGGAAGTTGTCAGATCCCCTGGAGCTGAAGTTACAGGTGCTTGTAAGACTCTGTGGGTGCTGGGAATTGAACCTGGGTTCTCTGTAAGAGCACATGCTCTTAACTGCTGAGCCATCTCTCAGTGCCCTGCTGCTTATTTTTGTTTGTCTTGTTGGCACACTGGCTGTGTTTGCACGTCTGTCATCTGTCAGTTCTCACTCAGCGTTATAAACTCCCTGTTAATTCAGACATTGCTTTGGATGCCCTGCTGAATAAAACTTACACTTTGATGTTTTGTTTTTTTTTTTAAATTCTAGTTCCAGTTGCTAATCCAGCATTTGCGAATAGCTCCAAACTGGGATATGTAAGTAACATTTGTATTTTAAAAGACATTCTTGGTGGTGTTATAGATATTGCCAGGCATCTCAGCATGAGCTCAGTCCTCAGTCACCCTATGGGAACTTGAGGGCCACACTCCCTCACAGCATGGAGAGATGAGAAAGCGGCTCCTGCCTCCTGCCATGTTTTCCAGTCCCAAAAGGCGCACTCTGCTCTGCAGGCCGTCGCTTTCCTGAGTGACCTCTGGGCTATGCTGCTGCCGCCCCTGTGCCTTTCCTTCCCGGGGGCAGGAGCTTCCCATGGTGTCATGGAAGTCAACAGGACGGTCATAGGTGCTCACTCTATGGATGCTTAGGCTCTGGCTCTCCTTGCTGGTTGGGACTTGGTCACATGATGGAACTGTTTCCTGAGTCTTCACTTTCTGAGGAGTTTACGTGGGATGCAGAGGTGTAGGGTTGAGACCCCAGATCTGCCCCCTGTGCAGGTCACATTCCCTGCTGAGCCACAGTGTCCTCATCGGCAAGTGGGGGTTGTGTTACCCTCTCAGCGGGTCACCGAGTAAGGCCTGGTTCTGAGTCTGCTCCGTGTTGGGGAGTGTTGTGATTATCTGGTCGCCGTCACCTCGGAGACTCATAAAGGACTGCATGGTCGCTGTGGCTGGCAGAGGTGTGACAATAGTTACTCCACCATGCTGGTGAAATACGAGGGCAAGCATGGGAATGTGCAAAAAGCTTTGGAGGGAAATGTTTCTGGCATCTCAGCCACTGTCCTCTGGGATGCTGGGCAACAGCCGAGTGTTTTGCGACTGTGGAAACTGAGTCTGTTTGACAGATGTTGTTTTTCTCTGGTCTGGAGCTCCCCCTGCTGACTTGAAAGTGGTTCTATTCTTTTCAAGCACTTTAAAAACCTTTTTACTATTTAAATTGAACTTCATTCGTTAAAAAATAAATAAAAAAAAAGTGTTTAATTTTTTTTTCAATGAGGAAGGGTCTTACTGTGTAGCCCAGGCTGGCCTTGAACTCTTAGCTTGATGCCTTCTGAGTGCTGGGGTTAGAGGTGTGTGCCACTGTGTCCGTTGGGG